ATATCTTCCATACGGGCAGAGGCGGCCATGGTCTCATGCAAGCCCCAGAACACATTTGATGGCCTAGGCATAAAGATTATTTTAGGGGCACCCATGCCTTGGAAAGCCAAAGGCATGGACCAAGATTGTAAAATATTGGGCCCAAAGCCACAACTCCCTGTACTGAATGCCAGAAGCATGGGGGAAGACCTTATGGCCTTCTGAATTCTGACTTTCCAATCTGTTGAAGGGCTTTGAATAGGCTTCAAAGGGTGTTTTGGGGCCAAGGTGAACCATTGCAGCGAGCAAGTTTTGGACCCGGGTAGTCACATGGCCCAGTTGCCCAATGGGTGAGGCGTTGCCCACAGCCCCCCAGCTATTGCAATTGCAGCCAAGCTGGCTGGCTGGCTCGCCACTTCATCCAATTTGGATTGGCTGCCAAGAAGGGGATGTTGTACTTGGAAAGGTGGTCTGCCCACCACTGGCCATTCCTCTAGAGTCGCAATGACCAAGAGTGCACAACAAACAGCAACATAGCACCTGGCTGGCTCTGCCAAACTGGCCCTGAACTGCCAACAGCAAAAGGACTGCAGCAGTTTGTGTCCACCTAACCAAACAGCCAGGGAGCTCTTTCTTCTGGCAGTTGAGAATGGCCACCGGCACATTGTCAAAGTCGAAGTCTGGGAACATCTTGTCCGGGTCAAACTTATCCATGGGCCCCACATACACGCATTGTCCGCAATCTGTGAAGCCAGCGTCCTCAAGCTCCTGGTCAGGAGCAGACAAGGAGCATGGTTGGTGGTTGCGTGCGCCTGCCAGCCCAATGCAAGCTACAGTCATGTTTAAGCTGGGGGCAAGTACTGTGTTCTGAGGCAAGCTCCTGTGGGATCTGCTGTGCCTCCTGTGGGATCTGCGTGCCTCCATCATCCCAGGACTCATCCTTCTCCTGCCAAAGTAAGCCAAGCTGATTCCTTGTCCCCATTACTGCATTCAGCAAGAAGTGTGCACCAGGGCTAGTGGTGGCCTATCCCAAACTTCATGAAACAGAGCGGGCTTACCTTTATTTCTTTCAACTTGGCAGTTGGTTCGTTCCTACAAAGACAGTCACTGAGTCATCCTCAGCTGCTGCCTGGGCCTCCTCCGGCGCTGCCTGGGCACATGCTCATCCAGGCATGGAAGGAAGGCAGGCACAAGGACAAGGAAGTGGCCTCCTCACCAACTGCAGAATCATCATCTGAATCAACTTCATACACCTGGCCACGCAAACAATGAATACCAGACTTTGGCAGCCCAGAGCCCCTGCCTTGGGCCTCTTGGCCACAGGCATACTCTTGGCAGCAGGTGCGGAAGGCCTCTTCTTGGAAGCAGGCTTGGTGGCCCTGGTGGCTGACAGTTTGCCACCAATGGGTGGAGGGCCAGTGGCTGGCTGACGCAGGCCAGAGGTGGCTTGCTGATGCAGGCCTGAAGGCTTGCTGGCCTGAGGCAAGCCTGAAGGCCTGCTGGCCTGATGCAGGCCTGGGGGCCTGCTGGCCTGAGGCCTGCTGGCCTGATGCAGCGAAGGCTTGCCGGCCCTCCAGGCCTGGCTCTCCACAGCCACCTGACTCTCCACATGCTACAACACTGAATGACAAGTGACAAGCCACATGTGCCAATGCCAGGCCGTTGACTGAACAAGGGATAGCACATGCCCCACCATCAGTGGCTAAAAAGTAAGTGTGTCATTAAAATTCTGCCACACACACACATACATGCACACACGCCTCGCCTCCTCAAACTGCTCCTCCGCAGGCGGCTCCTCATACTCCTCCCCATGCTCCTCTTCCAGATATTCCTCTGCCTGCATTTGAAAGGCACCAAAAAGCAAGCACCTGAGACATGCCAAAGCCTCTTGCTGCTCCTGCAATGCTAAGGCTCCAGTCCAGGAATTCCAGGCCTTTTGATGCTCCTTCCAAGAAGCACCCAAGAAACACCATCAAAGCTGTCAGCCAGTCTCAGTGTTTAACAGACAATGAATGATTGCTTACTTCTTCTCCCCAACACAAGATGACAAGGAACCAATGATGATGATGATGATGATGATGATGATGATGATGATGATGATGATGATGATGATGATGATGATGATGATGATGATTAGTGATGATGATGATGATGATGATGATGATGATGATGATGATGATGATGACGGTGGTGGGGGTGATGATGATGATGATCTACTGAATCCCGTTCCTTTGCCTGTTGAGGCGGGGCAGGAGGTTGAGGACCCATCAATGCCTTCTCCTTAGCCAAGCAGGACAAGGCTTCAGAATTGTGCCCTCAGCAAAGAAGTTCCTAGATAGGCAAATGCCAGCAGCTGAGAAAAGCACCAGCCGGTTCCTGGCTGCTCGCACTTGATCCTCAGTTAGCCCCACACACACGCGCATTCTCTCTTTGGCACACGCACATTTATGACTGTCATGTTCTTGCCAATTTAGTCTGGCGTCTCTGGCAAGCTGGCAGGGTGGCTTCCTTCTTGTGCCAACCTCATTCTGGTTCTGAATGATGTAGAGGTTGTTCACATACATGGCTGAAAAGCTGCCACAGCCAACAGCCCTTGAGCCTACACCTGCTGCATCACAGAGATCAAGCAACTTGCTTGCAGCAGCCCTGAACCACAACTGCAACCACATCTTGCTGGCAAATCCAAGAAAATCAAGAGGCATCAGGCTGTAAGAGAAGTGCAAGATTGCATGGGGGAGCTAACGATACAGAGCTTGCCAAAGGATGACGGCATTCACAATGGCACATGAGTTTTGATGAAAAGATAGCCCCTTACTGTTACCAGCAATTGTTCCTTGTCAAGACATATAGAACCCCCTGCAATAACATACACCCAAAATCAAGGCGCTTGGAATGCAAGGCGCTGTCGGCTGGCTTGTCTGGGCCCAAGGCAGGTTGGATGTCCTGGCACACCTCCAAGGGCAGCAGGCCTCAGCCAGAAAGCGGCCAGGGTGAGAGGCAGTGAGTCAGGGTTCCCTGCACCAAGCCCGTTTGGGTAGCAACTTACAGTTACATCAACTCAGGATTAGCTCACAAAGCATGTTCAGTGCACTGAGGATGGTCTGAGGCACCAACAGGCAAGCAACCTGAGCATGGCTGATGGAACCCCTCATGAAGAGGCTAGGGTGGGTTGCAGCCATGCCTTGGAAAGCCAAGGCATGGAGGGGCAAGGGTAAAGGATAGCTTGGTAGGTCAGGGGAGCTCAAGCTTCTGATTGCAGAAGCACTAGGCCAAACAGCATTTTGTTGTTGACATCAACGCTCCATTGGAATATGTTTTTGCAGCCATTTCACAATGACAGATTGTTTATGGACCAGCCCATGGGTACTGTCAGAATTTGAGCCTTGGCTGGGTGGCAGAAAAGCAGGTCAGACATCTCACCTGTGGGCTTGAACGTTTTCTTGTTGGAAACAGCTGCCATCAACCACACACACACAGAGTGTTCCCTGATTATCCACTGGGTTGTCCCTGCATCTTTGGTGCTGATTGAATTTCTTGGGCGGGACACTCCAAGACATGAGGAGCAATGAGTGCCCTGAGGGCTTAGCAAAGTTCCAGAGAAACAGTTGGCAGTTTCAAAATGCCTTGTGCAATACTGGAGGCTACCCAAATTCAGCAGTGGCCAGAACAGTACATTGCATTCACTTAGTGCTGTTTGGAATGGCATGTTAGCCCAGCCCTCTGCCCAGCCAGCCTTTGCACTGCCTAGAAAGCTGTGTGCAGACCTCAGTCAGACCTCAGTCAGTGTCTGAACCTTAGTATGCAGCAGGCTCCGCTCTGCTGGGACCTTAGTGAACTAAGCCTTAGTATTGCAGGGTTTGAGCCTTAGTGTCCTGCTGCCCCTTTTTGCGGCTGCTTTTATGGTTGACGGCAAGTGTGCAAATGCAGCATGGCTGCAAGTGAAAGCATAGAGCTGACTGAAGCTTCATTTCAATTTGACTTTTGGTGCTATGGTCAAATGGAAACTTAGGACCAGAAATTTCTGAACGCCACTACCCAGACACCTTGCAGCCTACACTTTGCCCACCTGCTCCCTGACAACTATACATGTCCCATGCTTGCAAAGTGTTCTTGTACATCCCTTCCTGTAAATCCAGGGCTCAAACAACCATGTGATGCATTTAAGATTAAAATTCACCATGAAGCTTTGGGATTCAGTTATTGCTGCAAGTAATCTTGTGCTTCAATGCTGCAAAGAGAACCAATCACTATTTAGCTTCATGATGTTGAACAGCAAGTTTGAAAAAGGTGGCCCCAATGCGAATGACATCTCAGGTGATGAACTAGCAGGTCCTGTGTTTTCCAAATGGTTGTGCCCTCTGTGCTGGCAAGTACTTTTCAGTTGTTACAGTTCTAAAGCAAAGCAGGGGTATGGACCACTAGGCCATTCAATATTGCAGTCTTGGTGCAGGCTAAAGTGCCCCATGACCATCCTCCCTGTCTGGCCAGGCCTGCTTGGTCATCTTTACCACGTGCCCAAAAAAAAGGTGCGCTTTTCAGCGCTACCCGCTTTTCAGCGGTGCCTATGTTTTTACCCTCCCTCCCTCCCTGTGAACTGCTGCTCCAAGTATTCCATGAAGTAGTCCGAGCCACAGTGCAGGGGGTGGGCACAGGGAAGGGTTGGGATGTGGGCACAGGGAAGGGTTGGGATGTGGGCAGGCAAATGTAACTGTGGGGGGGGGACATCCTTGGGGAGTGGGAAGTGAGACAGTTGGAGGGCATGTGGCACATGAAGAAAGGACACCTTGGAAGTGGGAGGGTTTCTGGAAGTGGGAGGGTGGGAGGGTGGAAGTGGCATGTTGATGAGGAATGATTGGCATGCCCTGCCCCCCCCCAACCTCAAATCATGGGCAAACACTGGTATCTTAGAATGTTGGTGCCTGTATCTTAGTTCCATTTCTTCTGGTTTCCTAGTTTATTGGGCAATTCTCTCGTAATTATGGCTTCACCGTTGTTGGAAACCAGCCGATCCCCCTTTCGGCCTGAAGGCAGCGCGGGCAGGGTAAGCAGCCGCTTCAGGTCCGCACGCAGTGAGGGATAGCACACCTCCTGGGCAGTGAGACACTGCTGCTCATCAGTGTCTTTTTTCTGCAGTGGTCAAGCCATGTTACTAAAGACAAGTCGACAGCCGCATTGGTAGCCGCCGTTTTCGCATGTTTCCTATATGTCTTGTGTTCCGCAATAAAGCAACTGAACAGCACGGGCTGGGTTCTGTCTTGTCTTCTGCGCGTGTTGGGAACTCCATGATGTCGCAGCAGGGAGCATGTTCAGAAAGGCGTGGACATTTCACCAGCCCAAAAGCAAGGGACCGTCCCTTAGCAATCTACCCGGGTTTGATCTGGGCTGTTCCCAGATCCCCCTGATAAAAGTTGAAAACCTTTAGTGGTTTAGTGGAAACTACCAATAGCCCCTGACAACCTAAAAGCCATCCCCTGCTAAAAGTCTAACTAAGAAACCAAAAAACCCAAGGAACCGGATAGCTAAGAACCACAAGCGATTGCGGCTGCCTTTTTCGGGAGCTGCAATCTCGGGGGGGGGGGGGGCATCCTTTGGGCAAGGCGCAGAGCCACGTGCGGCCTCCATGTTCTCCACGTGCCTCGCTCGGGCAGGGTTCCGGGGCTGTCTTTTCGGGAGGCCACCTGGACTTACTGTTCAACAAGCACGCAGACCTAAAAATCATCAATTCCTTCATCAATCATTGGCTCCAAATGCCGCAGGTGGCATACCCAAATGGCAAACATTTCTACCCCCACAAACAAACGAAGTGCCCATCCAGGAACTGCATGTAGTGCCAAACGGGGGTCTGAAATGAAGTCATTAGCTATCCTTGGTAGCCAGAAGGCACACGCCTCAGGATGGTGGTCTTCCGAACCTCCTCACGACTTTGACTGTCACTCCTGCACTCCACTCTTTTTGACCAGATGCACCATCTTCGGCGCAGCTTTGTAAGGCCCTTGGCGACCTTTGGCTAAAAAGCAGAGAAAGAGGTAGAAAGACTTGACCTGCTTTGTGAAAGCCAGCTGTGGTGGTGGGGAGGTGGCGGTGGCGGCGCCTGCTGAATCTTGAGTACAAGAAACGGCCAACCACGTTACATGCATTCATTTGTCAAGAACCTGCGCAGCAGGAGGTATGACAGTCACTCCTGCACTCCAGGCCAGATGCGCCGCTACAAGGTAAGCCAAAAAGGCCCTTGGCGACCTTCGTTGAAAAGCAAAAAGAGGTAGAAACACTTGACGTGCTTGAAAGCCAGCTTTTCCCCTATCCGCTAGCGAGCTGCCAGTTCCGTTTTCAAAATGCAAGCAACATCGTTTACCAGCTTGTAAGGATAAGGTTGAGCAACCAAGGTCATGAGCCGCCCATCTGAAGCCAAGCCGTGCAAGGGGATATGTAGCTTGCCTGTGGCACTGCGACATTGGAAATTGCCCTTGCGCACACGTTCCAGCGCTGTGAAGTCAATAAAACCACCCAAAAGTGCGGTGGGCTTTCGCCAGCGAGCGTGAAATTGGCAGAAGTGCAGTTCAAGCATGCAAGCGAACTCATCTTGCTGAAGCATTTTAAGAAAAGGTGTAACCAAACATCTGGAGGACCATGAGTTTTCCAAAGCATGCGGGACGCCCAAAACCTGGCAATACCAAATGATGAGGGCCCTCACGTACAGTACTCGGGCGCAATTCCCTCAGCGAGCTTCTTGCGGTCACGATGTGAGAGGCAGAGGGGGAGGAAAAACTCCGTCTTGACTTCGGGAGAGGTACAGGGTCTACCCGCTCACACAAACCGGGAAGGGGCAGAATGTCACGTTCCCTCTCCTCGCCATGAAGCCCACAAAAACTTAGATGCCAGGGCCTGTCTCTGGAACCAATCACTTCTTCGCCTACCCCCCCCTTCTTGCTTGGAAGTTGAGGGAGAATACTTGGTCTCCCCGTGTCCTTCCACCTCCTGGCAAGAGGATGTGGGCGCCGCCGCTGTTGCTGCCCAGCAAGCGCGGGCAGCGTTCGCGGAAGGTTGCGCGGAGGAAGACGCAAATCAAGCCGCGGCGAGAAGCTGCGGGAGGAGCCCGCGACGAAGGCGGAGCTGCGGAGCCTGGAGCAGCTAGAAGTCAGAGCTGGCAATCAGTCCGTGGACCAGCTGCAGCCCCTCTACTTCACTGTCGCCTCCTGCTTCTGCTTCCCCCACGCAACTTTCTCTTCTCTTTCATCACCTGCCTCTCTTCATGTATATGCTTCGCTACATGCTCAGTGAGGGACCCCTCCCGTCTGCACCTTCGCCCAATGAAGTAGTTGGATGCCTCATAGGATCGCGCTGCCGGGGTTCCAAGGTGAGCCAGTTGCTCTGGGCCTCAGGCGCTGGGCGTAACAAGAATTTACTACTCCTTTTTTGGGTACATCATTGTCCGCTTTGTGGGTCATTCTGCTGGGAGCCATCCAATCGTGGTTTTTCGGGTGTCTTTTCGCGGCGGCGATCGGGAGTGGACGCTGTTTGTGGGGCCACTGATTGATCGGTCATGCAAGTTGGGGATCTGGTTTATGTGCTTTATCACGGAGGTTCCGGGGTGTACCATGCGCGAATTGGGGCATCTGTCCAGGATGAATGGATGATAGTGACGCCGGACAGGGACATACCTCCGGAGAATTGCAATGACAGGAACACAAACATCAACCGTTTCCGGCATGCTTCAGATCGTGGCTGCCGCCGGAGTTTATTCCTTTGAGGAAGGGCTCCGGCAATAGGAGGCGGATGGGCGGCGGCAGCTGCTGCCAGGCTGCTGTTGCAGACGGGGAGGACTTGATCTGGGTTCTTGCGGAGATGGTGGAAGGGGGGGCTTTGAATGTCCCCGCTGGCGCCGCCTCGGACGGGTCTGGGCAAGATCCGTGACAAGGAGAACGAGGAGGTGGTGGCACTGGCGGGTTGTATCCGACGGAGTCAAGAAATGCAGGTCAGCTGCATCCCTCGCTGGGGATGATTGAGAAGCGGCAGGAGGCGTTCGCACCATGCCGATTGACTAATTGGCAAATGGTGAGCGATCCCGGAATTTCAAGGACACTATCAAGGAGTACCAGCAGGTCGAGTTCGATGATTTCCGCTTGGAGCCTCGCACATGTCAGTCATATTTGCATGCAGTCGGGGAACCGGCAAACGTGCGGATCCACTCTCGCCTCCACCGTCGGCCTTGTAAACCACCAACCAATCAGCGCTCCCGAGAGTGCAATGGCGCAATGCGACACGGCCATCCCCTGCTCAATCTTGAAGACAGGGCCAACCGCGTTGCATGCATTCATTCAAGAACCTGTACAGCAGGAGGTATGATTGGGTCTCCCAGCCCCAAGGTCGAAAGGTAGGGGTGTTAAGAGGGTAGCCAGCGATGTACTTCGTCAAAGACATCCCCACATACGACCAACCTCTGCTTTTCATTGGAAACACAAGGGTCTTGTTTGAGCAACAGGATGAAAAAACACAGTTAAACAATGGGGTTGGCCCAAAACCTAGCCAAAACATGGTCCAGGAGCATGCCACCCGAAAATCGGGTCTTTTTGGTCTGCTGCCGCGGGGCTCGAGGTGTTTCAGCGTCACCCAAGAGGCCGAAAGCTCTGGGTCCTTGGATTGCAGGGTAGGGTAACAACACTTGGTTGCTGTTGACCCTCTGCAAAAAGTTTGACTTTTTGTAGGGTTTAATGGACAACCCAGCTTGGTTTCCCAAAAAGTTAAAGCCTAAAGATCCAACCCAATAGCAGTCAAGAACAGGGCATACAACTGCGCTACTTATGACCATGGCTGGGGCCTACTTACTAAGACGGTTGAACATCCAACCATTCTCTTCACCCACCGTTCTCTAAATCGAAACCACTCATTTTCCCATTGGCCCATTTTTCGAGAAGGATCCCTGAGAAAATGGGGAAGGTCCACTTCCCCCTTGTGATTTGTAGGTGGGAACGGGTCTCCCTGAATTCCCTTTGCCTTGACCTACACCTGGTACTCAACAAAAACAAAAAGGATTAGCGTTTGTGGACTCTACTTTATAGTCGGCTTACCCTAAAATAGAACCAACATTGTTGTAGAGGACACTCCACTTGCAAGCCTCCCAATATTTCCCCATTCAACATTACCCCAAGCGAAAGCTCAAACACTATTGGTCCAAGTGAATGACCCCTGCTTTATTCTTGGTGCCTTTTCCTCTGGGGCCCAACAGTTACTGTTAAAATCCAAAGCAGCCAAGTGACCTGAGGCTCGGAAAACACATGAAACTGTTTGGACCACGGCTCTAATGAAGGCAACTATCCCGAGTTTTTCACTTGGAGTGTTTGTTGTTGTATTTTTCATCGTTTGATCCGCCCGGGTGCCTCACCTGGACCCACCGAAAACGCAGGCTTGACGATGAGCACGTTAGACACTCACAATCCTAAGGGACGATAGTCAATGCAAAGTGCCAAACCTCGATCAGGGATGTCCTTCCTCTCGCCTAAAGCAAGGGCGACCATGCGACACCCCACGGAAATGGATTCGACCTGGCCGGTTCCCGCGATCTCGACCATTTGTAGCTCACCTGCGACAAAGCAGAATGGCGCATGTCCAAGGAAACGAAAGCAGGACCAAAAAAGCGCAAACAAACATTCGCCCAGAAGGTGATGCTTGAGTTTCATCATTCATACCGGGCCCTTTGCAGCGACATTTTCAACATTGCTTTCATGAGGGAAACCATTCCGTCACAGTAGGTTCTTCGAGCATGGTCATTTCAACGCAGTCAGAAGCCTCTGGGGCCCTGGGGTACTTCAGAGAGCCCACCCGGCTGTGTCGAGCTGCAGCGCGCATCAGCTCCCGCAGCGCGTAGCACGCATCTGCCTCGGCGCAAAGCCTCGCAACGCCTCGTGGTCCCCGAAAAAGACCTCCAAAAAAAGGAGGCCCATGGGGGTGTGGGTCAAAAATGGGGCAACCCCAACATGGAACTCTAAATGCAAACAAGGACCAACAATGACCCAAACCTGCGGTCCCCCTGGTGGTTGAATTTTGGCCCACACCCATTTTGACAAACTCCCATGTGCCATGGCCGAAACTCCGAACATGCCTATGGTTGCCTTTGCACCCTTTGGAAGGAACAGGCGTTTTGATGTCTCACATGAAACAGGAATCAAAGGCCTGCTTCCTGACTGCGCGGGCAAAGTGTGTTTACTACTAAAATTGACAAAAGTCCAGAAGCTCAGAAGGTGAGAGTTCACAAAGGACATTGCAGGCGGTTTTGGAAAGGCCTTGTGTAGCCCCCCGAGGCCCTGAGTCAGGGCCCTGGCCTCATGCCGCAGGGCCTTCACAAGGCTCTCCAACAGCTCCGTGCTGCCCTCCAAAGCTCCACCTGCGATCGAAAAAAAATGTCCGCAATTGTTTTACGAACACAAGCTCACTTCCTGGCCCAAGACAAGCTCCCAAACTTGTTGCGTACCGCCAAAATGGTCCATCTTCCCACAAAGCCTGTGTATATAGATATATATATACATACATGTAAAGATACAGATAAGTTATTATATCTGTAAAGTTTGCGGTAATTCCAAAAGCTAAGAATCGGATCCCCAAGTAAAGGACCTTTATCGTGGTGAGCTCGTTATACCCCCAGGCTCGCTATAAAAATAGGCAGATCTTTTGGTAGAAGGACCAAAACAATCAAACGGCTGGTTGCCGGATGTCACACCAAGTTTAGTCATGATAGGTGTAAACTCTGGGTAGTTATTTAGGTCATACCCTTCCATGGCATCTGACAGGTCCCAGGAAACTTTATCTTCCAGCTAAGTTTGGGTCCGGGAAGGGGAGATTGGCCAAGCACCCAACAATTGTGGCTGCCGACGTTGCAAACAAACCCTCGGAAGGCTCAGAAAGGGAACCATCAAACACACACACACACACACACACAAACACATGGTTCAACCACTGGTTATCCGTATGCCCCAACATAAACTCATAGTGGCCAAACAAATGTCGAATCACTCATGGCGCATTGCCTCTTTGAAACATGTTGGAACCAACAAGCATAACACGGCATGGACATTTATCCTTCAGAAAGCCATTGGACAAACCTCATCTTAAGCAACTAGAAAATATTAGGTCGCCAGCGCTCCGTGGCTCAGCGGCCGCGCACGTCCGGTTTCATGATTCAACCCCATGCTAAAAACAACACTTTGGGTGGGATGTCATCGCTCGAAAGTCTAAGGATATGACTGGGAAAAAAACCAAGATATCCTGCCCTTAGAACCCTCCGCAAGCGCAACGCCATGGGCGCTGAGGCCGACCCTAGTTTGCAGCGCTTCAAGGAGCGGTTTCCAGCAGTGCGTATATCTCACTTGCCCAAAGGACCCAGAAATATAAGGTTTACCTTTTGGGGCCATGACTAAAACTAGAGCAAAAAGGAGAAACCAAAAGGTCAAAAGGTCGATTTGCTTTGGGCAACTCAGATACAGAGACTCTGAAAAACGGAGAGTTCAGGAGATTGATTGGGGGTGTCCAGTGGCTATAGGGCGGGCCAGCTTGAGCTGTTGCCCTTTGCAACAAAACTTTGTCCTGATGACGCTCCCTTCAGCCCACTCCTCATGACGAACCCGTGCACCGGCGAGCGTTTCTACCCCCATTCCAATGTGTTATGCACACAAAGCGCATGTAGCTGGTCGCAAGGCCCATGCAAAGTCATTTTTTCGGCACCAAGTGGTTCCGTACAACAGGGGACCTCACAAATGGTTAGTTTCCTGGTGGTTTCCCTTTCAGCCCATATGCCAAACCCCCCACCCCACCAACCCAAATACCTCCGGAATACGCGTCTCACCTTCAAAAAGGAGGCACAGGTAGGCGGAGAGGGGGGTGCATCACTTGAACCGTGGCCTCCCCATGTTTGTTATAATATTGTAGGCAGTCTCTGGGAAGGCAAACTGAAACTTCTAGAGGTTGATTCCAACCATTCTTTTCAACCATCGTTCTTCTCAAAGACCAGCTGTTTCCCCAGGGTGTTGGGTGGTTTTTTAGAAAGAAGGATGCCTGGAAAGAATGGGGAAGGTACCGTGAGAAAACTAGGCATCAGTTGAAAGCAGCCTCTTCATGTTGGTTATAATATTGTAGGCAACCCATGGGAAGGCGAATTGACTTTTGGGGTGGGCCTCCAAAGAAACGCCCCTGCTTTGCAAGTGCATCGCTCCGACTTGCTGCGCCTTTAGCCGCGGCAAGAAGCAGCTTCAGTGCCCCAGGAAGTACGGCTGCGGAGCCTGCCCACGCAGCCGACCAATTGACATGGGGACCACATCTTGGTTGCTGTTGGCCCCTCTGGATAAAGCGAGACTTTTTGTGTGTTGAATGGAACGAACGACCTGTTCTTAACCAAAAAGTTAAAGTCCAAAGATCCAGCCAAATAGGCATAAAGAAATACCCTCCTAGACTTACAACCAGGGACCCCGGACACTACAAACAAAAAGCCCTTGCTGGGATTGACCATGTAGGCCATGCTGCGCACGCCTTAGGAATCACCTGGGATATGAACTCCCTGAGAAAGCTCGGAAAGCAAATTAGTCCATAGCCGAGGTGATCCCATGAAAGCTCGCGTTGCGGGACCCCTTTGGAGTCGCTTCCATGGAACCGAAGCTGCATCCCGGCCCATTTTGGAGTGCTGTTCGCCCTGCTTGGCTCCACGGATGGAGAGAGATGAAGGGTGTCCTCAGTATCTCCGTTAAATTCTAGCTCAATCTGGTTGACTCTGTTCATCTGTCTGTCCTCTCTCTGTCTCTCTGCCATCCCCTTCCGCCCCAGCACGTGCGGATTACATCCAGGATTGCATCTAAAGGGGCCCAACAAAACTGGATGTGAAGCCTCCTATGCATGAACAATCGGAGGGTGGGGGGGGATGCTACTCCAATCCCAAAAGCTGAGCTAAGATTTGGGTCCCCAGGTAAAGGACCTTAAACCCCCGGCCCTTCCCTCATTTCAAATCCCACCAGTGAGAAACCCACGGTGAACCAGTCGCCCTCCGCCCCAGGCCCCTTGGGCCTCCCAAGCGCCCAGCGTCCACCACCAGCTGCGCCGCCTGGTCCGCCACGGCACGGCTGGCCGCGGAGGTCTCCAAGTGGTCCCAGCCTCCGCTGAGGGTTTGGGGGGTCCAAAGCTATGCTCATCTTGATATGCACAGAGCGGGGAGCCTATGGATATTCACATTGGGTATACCTCACTTGCCCAAAGGACCCAGAAATAAAAGGTTACAGTAACCTTTTGGGGCCATGACTAAGACCAAAAAGGAGAAACCAAAAGGTCAAAAGGTCGATTCGCTTTGGGCAACTGAGTTCATCTTGGTTGCTGTTGACCCCCCTGCATAAAGTTTCTCACTTTTTGGGGGTTTAGTGGAAAACACCTATATTCCCAAAAAGTATAGTCTGAAGATCCAACCCAATAGCAGTCAATTAACTCTTCCGTTTGCGTATGTCTCACCAATAGTGGTAGACTCCCTTTTAAGACTAACCGGGGAAAAACGAGGTAATGGGTGTGGGTCAGAGCCAACGGTACCATTTTGGGGGTTTAGGTGCACCACCCATTTTAGAACCTATTTTGGTGGGGATGGGGATGTTCACTGGGGGTACGGGCTTTTGACCCATGGCCATACTTGTGTTCGTGCTCTTCCGTTTGCGAAGGTCTCTCCACTGGCCATTTTACCATGATCAAAGTCAGCCCCGAAGTGGTATACGGGAAACAATTCCATGGTCTGACTTTGATAACCCTTAGAAACATTCAAAATAATGGCCCTGGCTCCAATAGTGGTAGACTCCCTGTAAAACCACAGTTCCGGGTGTTTCTCAACATTAGGGAGGGATCCCTCCAGGCAGGCGGTTGCCTTTTTCGATTCACTGAAGAAAAAAAAACAGCCAAATAGCGGTCCCATATTTTGAGTACCCCCCCATACGCCCCCATATGTCCTGGTTCTCGACATGACTGATGTTGTTGTATCAACGAACCTCTGAAACCACAACTTAGAGGGCAAATTTGAGGATGTCATGGTCAAAGCTCGTGTCTGTCATGCTTCCCTTACAGGTCCTTATCATCTGGTCTAAATTCCTTTCGGGGTCCACGACTTCTCCAGGTTTTCGCCCATGGCCCAAACCCAAATGGTCCAAGCTCCCAGGTCCGACAGGACAAGTTCCAGGGCCCTGCCCTGCTCGCCTTGGGAAGTTCCAAGCTCAAAGCTACACTCCAGACTGGCGAGACTTGATGCCAGAATTGCATTCTCAAATAGTTCGCCTTTGTGTACCCACATTGCTATAGCTGGAAGCAAGCATGTCACCAGAATTGACTTTCCCCAGCATCAAGTTCAGGAACGGCGGACCCCTTCAAACGCGGGTCCTTCTGTTCATGTACATTGCAGAAGTCTCACGTTTGACCGCCGACCGCCTTCGGGATCCGTGAGCTACCCTCTAAGCCACGATCAAAACTGGTGCCCAAGGGGGCTCGCCCCCCGGCTCATCCTTCAATCTTGGTTGCTTTTGGATCTGCACACGGCTTCACTTTTTGGTGGGTGTAATGCTGAATATCCGACCTGTTGCAACTATAAAGTTAAAGTCCAAAGATCCGTCACCAACTGATGTTGACCCCAGATTAATAAACCCCTTTTCTTAACATGGGGGTGTCCCTGGTTTTAGTGGAGATTTATCACTTTTGGAGGGAACCCCCTCATATTACTAAACAGGGGTTTATTCATCCGGGGTCAACATTGGGCGATAGACTGGATACTTTCCGACTCACCCGGGTGCCATCAGTCCAAATGCCAGCGAGCAGCAGTGCAGCAGGTGAGGTGCCACCACCTCGGCCAAACAAAAAAACACCTTTGTTTGGGCTGTTTGTCCAGCTTTCTCAGCTGGAAGCAAAAAGGACGAGGCAGCTTGCCTGGTTTCGTGTTTGTTGGTCTTTATACTCTTGTTTAAACAAGTCTTATCCAAAAGCAGGAAAGCGTCTGGATGTTGCGTGTTTGAGACGGGCCCACTTCAAAAAGGACGACATCTCACTTCCTGAGTGCATGGGCCAAACAAAGTCCAAACTTGCTATTTACCACCAAAACTATCTTCCCACAAAGTTTAAAGTCCAGGAACTCAAGAAGTGAGTAACAGATTGCACTAAGCGAGTTTCCAAGATGGCGGAAATGCCGCTGTCTCTGATAGTGCGGGTCATTCCAAAAAGACTTTAGCCCTCTCAAGGGGTTCCCTTGGTATCACACAAAGTAGCCCTAAATCATACTGTCCACCACCAGCATGTCCAAAACCGGAAAGAAGATCCAAACGGCTATCTATTTGGTTGCTTCTGATCCCTCTGCAAAAAGTTTAACTTTTTGTGGGTTTAGTGGAAAACCCCCTTGATTTCCCCAAAAGTCAAAGTCAAAGTCTAAACTTCCAACCCAATAGCAGTCAAGTCTAATGGCATCTGCCCCTATCAACTGCAAACATCGACATGAGTGGTGCCCTTGACTCAAGGGTTTCCAGGAACGTATCCCCATTGCGAGCCAGTCAACTCCTGCCCCAAAAAAACAATATTGAAGAACATCTGGCCATGGGTCAAAAGCCCGCCCCTCTAAAATAGATCAAAATGGGTGGTGCACCTACCCCAAAATGGTACCATTGGTTTTGACCCACAGCCATCTACTCTAGAGCCTGCCCCCAAACGCTAACAGTCGCCGGCAATTTGGAAGCGATACTTGCAACTAAGTTTGCCTTCCCCCACCAAAAACAAAATAAAATCCAGGAGCTCGGGGATGAAATGTTACACAACATGTAAAACAGTTTCAAAAGAAGTCCCGGAAAAATGCTCCACAAGAAGGCATCCCCATTTTCAACAAGCCTCAGTTTGGGCATGTCTCAAATAAGTGGACTATCCTCTAAAGTGGTCGGTTCCTTTTGGTTTCCAGTTGAACCCCCCCCAAAGGGAAACATTCTTGCCCCCCACTTCCGCATGCGAAAAGAAGCCGGGCTGCTGCTTTCACTTCACCGTCCGCTTGGCCCCAGAAGCGGGTAGCCAAGACATCCTCGGCGGACGGCTTTCCTGTGAACTGGTGATAGTCCTGCATTTGCTTAAGTCCGCTGGAAAAAACAAATCCAGTAGTGATAGATTCCCTTTAAAACCAACAGGGGCAATCAAATAAACAGATTCTTAACCAAATGGAAGCAGTGTCTTATATGCTTTCTACAATTCACAATGGTCACCCTCGAAAAGACATCCTCATTTTTCCCGGGAAAACTGCTGACTGCAAGAGTAAGCTGTCCTCTTTCCAGGCGGGTGCTCACATGCCCACGTGCTTTTGCTTGTTGTTATCCTTTCAAATATCTGCGCAAGTTATGATTATGACCAGCTCAACCGGGGATAAGAGGAACTCGCTAAAGGTGCCGTACTTGGCTTCTTGATTTCCAGTTCGGCTTCTTGCTTGAAGTTGCTGCTAATCAATATGTCAATAATTATGATGGACTTGCTCTGTTGCTGGCTGTACTGCTTAGTGCTGACTTAATGCCTTAGTGTGGGTGTGGTATTGGGAACAGTCTCTCAAGAGTACCCTTGTCCAACTGTTTTTTCGTGTATCTGGGCGTCAGCTGCACTCCGCGTTCAAACATTGTTGGCCGGGCTCTGTTGCAAAAGGCGTAGGCAAGGACTTGTTTATTTTTTGTTTTTGAGTTTCCAGGATATTCTGTCTGGCGCCGTAATAGTACTGGTTTAGCATCGGTTTCTACCGGTTAGTATCATTTTTTGGGGGGTGCAGAAGTGTTTCTGGCTCTGTGGATTTTGAAGCAGTGCAGGCGAACAATGATTGACAAGGCGGGCTGGAGAAAAACGAGACGCATGGGGGCAGGGTTGGCAAATTATGTTGGGAATGTTCGGGGCAGTTTGGGAAAGCAATATGTTGTTCTCTGGCAAAACAAACTCTGGCCGAAAAAGCACCTCCGGAATGTCCTGGAAACCGCCACTTTCTGGGAAAGCTGGAAGAAACCCATAGATAGGAACCCAGGAGATTCTTGTGTTGAGCACCCCTTGATTCATCATCTCTCTCTGTCTCGCGTGCCATCGGAATCCGTCCCGCTGGCGTGGAATTCATCGGTGGCCGGTAATACAGTCCAGCTTGACACGAGTCTGCCCCAACATCTCAAAAAGGGGTTCGGTATGAGTTGGTTTGAGCTGTAATTAATTGGAGGCCCTTCGGAGGATCATTTTGGGCATTCATGTCGCCAACCACTTTTGAGATGGGTCCAAACAAAACCACAAACCAACAAGAAGGCGTAAAATCATCCCCATATCATCCGCCGCAAAACAAACACAACAAAAACAAACAAACAACAGGTGGTCCCTCCAGAACCCTCCCTGAAAGCTGCCCCACCCCACCCCAAACCCCGTTTTTCTTGGACCCATCCACCCCATCGCCTTCAGCGGATTTTCCCGTTTTTCGCCAGGGCGCTACGTCGGTGCAGGCCAGGTCTCTGGGGAACTTGTCCCGCAAAGCGCCGAGGGCGGCCTGCCAGGAGGTTTGGCCACACGACGCTTACGCGTCGAAAGCCCGCCAAAACCGCAGAAATGCCTGCCAGAACCAAAGAACTCCTGGTACCATCCCAACGACAAACATGGGTTTGTGCACAGACCCCCTCAGTTGTTCCCTGGGAAAAAGGGAACTCTTTTTGGGGAAGACCAGTTTTAGTGGGGCAGCCACCCAAAAAAAAGGAAAAAGAAAGAAACAGGGTGCCACTGAACAACTGCGCCGCTGTAGAAAAACTACTTTCCTCTTGGCCAGGAGGTTTGTGCGCTTCCATGTTAGTTGGTGGGAGGGTATCTTTTTTGGCTCTTGTCGAAAAACCTCGTTAGTGGCTGTAGGCATGCAACTTGCTTAAGTCCCCCAGAAAAACATCATATTTCTAGTAGTGATAGATTCCCCGTAAAACCAACAGGGGGAAATCAATAAGCAAATGGTGGGTAAACTAATGGCGCGTGTGCGCGCGCTTGGAGTTGGTGCCTTGGTCGGAGTGAGGGAGAACAAAACAATTGTGCAGATCTCCTATCCATCCCGATCATCCTTCCCAAGTGGTGCAGGATTTTGTCACAGAACGAGGATATGGAAATATGAAGCGACTTGAAGATCAAACAAACAACAATTACATGCAACGGGTGCGCCCAGTATATGGGTGTCTCGTAAAATAGGGTATCCAATAAAGGCCGGTTGTGTGTGTGATTCCCTTTAATACCAGGATACAAAACTGACACCTCAAAGAAGACGCTGGTATTTTCCTGGTACAGTCGCGGGTTGGGGAAGCGGAGATCTCTTAGGAACAACTTGGCAAAAAAAAGAAGGGGTTCGAACCCTTACAATATGTCAGCTTCTACGCTGTTCTTGGCATGATTTTCAATTTAGTTGCTTAGTTCTGTACATGTTGATTGGGGGATGCCAAGGATTGGAAAGGCTTCCTGTTGGTAATAATGTTGCAGATGCCTCTTTGGACCAGGTCGGCGTTTGTGTTGGGGCCGGAAACATCGCAAGCATCGTTTGCGCCATGGAGCAAGCGGTATGCTCGATACTCGATTCTGGCTCAGGGCAGGAGAGGGGACGGGTAATCCCTTCGGATGGGCGATCCCTGCAGCAGTTGGGATGCTTGCCGCCTTATACTGGGACAAGAAACACCATCTACGAACCTCGCTTCCTGAGCTGGGCCAAACAAAGCAGGGCTGTGGGAAATGGAATCCACTTCTGTGATACAACAAAAAGGAAAAACCAAACACTAACACCCCATATACAGGGGGAGACTCCCTTGTATCACAGAAGTGGGGAAATAAACCCTTGATTCCACAACCCTGAAACAAAGTAACCACACTTTTTGATTTACCACTAGAATGGTCTTCTGCCCCAAAAACTGATCCTAAGGCCCGCGAACTCAAGTGAGCAACTCTGGGACATCACAAGCTATGACCCTCCCGATTAACACATGGAACGGGTCACCGACGTTCAGGGACTGTGGTCCTGGGTTGGAGCATCCTTTGAAAGGGACGGGTTGGGGCCCTGGCAGAGGCCATGTGAAAAGCGGAGGTACCCCATGCATTCATCAACCCAGTTTATTCATAGGGGGGTGTCCCATTCACCCGCCAGTTTATTCATAGGGGGGGTCCCTGGGTTGGGTGAAATGTGGGGAATCAAACCACGCCAAACTTTTGCCCCGCGCCTCCACAACCGGCAGATTCCACTTGTACCTGGTTGCCAGCGGCTGGGCGATCAAAAGATCCTTGGCTTCCTGGGGTGACCGTTAGGGACTGGATTTCCAGGCGGGAAAACATAATTTCGGCATCCGTTTTTTGGTTGGTTGACTTTAAAGAGGAACCCTTCCCAGAAAATAGGGGGAAAAGGGCACTCATTCAGACTCACTCGACCCAATTAACTAATTTCAACCCGCTAGTTCGGACTCACAAGCACTTGGCGCTGGCACTGACTAATTCGTCCCCCCCTTCCACAAGCTCTCATTCAAACCTGCTGCAAAGCTACGCATGCTTGCAAGAATGTGTTGTTTGGTTGGCCCGTGATTGTTTTTGGCAGGCTTTTGTTTGCTCTTGTGGCGTACGGGTCAAAATTAAACCACCAGAAGACCTTTCCAGGGTTCGAATGCTCTTGATAATCCCCATGTTTTGACCGTGGTCCGCGCGCAAAACGTGCGACTTGGACTCGCGGACTAGCCAGGGCGCTGCTGGACGAGCTTCATGAGGTCCGCGGGGCTGGTGGCGTCTGAGACCTTCTGAAGCAGCGCCACCTGGATCTCGGCGGGGGGTACTGAGGTTTCTCTTCTTGGTTGCTGTTGACCCCCCTGCAAAAAGTTTAACTTTTTGATTTGAGGGTTTAGTGGAAAACGCCGCGATTTCCCAAACAGTTAAAGTCTAAAGATCCAACCCAATAGCAGTCAAGTCTCGAGTCCCCCATTTGCTGAAGCCCCTGGACAAAAAAACACAATATGACAAAGGACATAAACAATTATTTGTTTAAAAAGATGGAAGACATACGGACTCTGTGCATATGAATAGGGGCTCTTGTTGGGTTTAGTGGGGAATCAGAGTTGATCATTATGTCAACATTGCAGTATCCTATTCTGCAGTGGATGCTTTTCTAGATACCCCAGTTTGTTTGCTTGCCCTTTTTCGGTGGTTTTGTGGTTGAGTATGGAGTGTTTACTTGAAGCTACAGTGGATGCTGAAAGGCAAGGGAGAAGCAAGACTGGATCCACCCAAGCACTTTTGTCGCCCAAGGTGTTCACTCCCATGCGCCCAACAGGGCCCACAGTGATTCCTTTTCACATCACCATTCAAGCTCAAAGGTCTGCTTTGGGCAACTGAGCAAGAGAAGCCTGCCTCTAAAATGGCCCGAGGGTCTGCCTGCATCCCCTGTTAGTGTCACGGGGAAGTCAACACACATGGGCCACCCTGGAACTCGCAGGCGCCTGGTCTTCCGTCCGCAGCAGCGACTCAATGCGAGCCCAGATCTGGCAGCTTTCCCCGCGAAGTCGTGGGTCTTTCTCCCACTTGGTCAACGTTCAACCCACCGGGTCCTATGCTTGCAAGCCGCAATAGGGGCTCGCACAATCCCAATAGGTGATAATGGTTGGGTGCCATTTGGGTACCTTTTTTGAGGGTCGCCCTGACCATGAGACCGGGGCTGGGCAAATTTGATTTCACCCGCAGGAGAAAAGGGACTCTACGACCCGAAACTTCCGGGGGAGGTTGTTAGGAGTTGAGACCGCGAAACTAGCTGGGAACATGTCCGTTCTAGCAAGCAATGGGACTAAACCAATATGATTGCAGTGATCAGCTTCCCCCTCTGATTCGTGGTTTGGATTGCTGGTTGGGGGAAGTTAAGGGGTGCTATCCCATTTACCCGCTACAAGAACCAAGGGTTCAAGCCCCCAAACCACCGATCCAAACTTGCCGCAAGGGCCCCTTAGTGTGAAGAGAAATAAAGTTGCTTTTTGTTCCGGTGGTTCTGGTAAACATGGGTCTGTCCTTTCATAGGCAAAAGGCAAACAGCCATTTTAAGGGTCCCTTAAACCAAGGCTCACACACATATTTTCAGAATTTTCAGATGTCGCGGACGTTTTGCGTGCCAAAGTTTCCCGGTGCGGCTACCAGTTGTCCCTGAGGAGAATGGGCTGCGCCCACCCGAGGGGAAACTCCTTTGTCCTGGTGCGGCAAGAACAAAGAGGAGGCCAAAGCAAAGCCAGCGACTTTTGGCGCTCCACACCGGAGAGGTCGTAATATGTTTTCTGATGGGACATTTGTGAAATTATAATTCGTAAACTGGGAAGGAGGGAAACGGAACATGTGCCCTTGTCCTGGCGATTTCCCTTTAATCTGAAAAGGGACCGAGAAGCACCCCAGTAGGTGAGTGTGTTATCATTTGTGCTGTCCAGTATTAGGCACCCCCCTAAAACACTCGTTTTTGGACTGCTCGGGGAGGTGCTACAAAAATCATCGAGAATCGCCCAACTTGTGGCGGATGCTCAATCTCCTGAATCACGAAATTATATCTCACTTTGGCCAAAACAGTCTAAACTCGTGGTTTGCCAGCAAAATGACACACCCAAATGGCCCAAAAGTTTCAAGCCCCCTCAACTGCGGAACTGAGCGCGATCGCACTCCGCCTCTTTGGCAGCGTCCGCCGTGCTCAAAGAAGTGAGGTTGCCTAGGGGTCGAGACTCGCCGAGACTCGGGCGGGACCTTCCAATCCAAAAGCAATTGCCTCCCTCTGTTGAAGCTTAGCAGTTCGTTGATAAAGCATAACATAACCTGGCAGATGCCACGATCACCTCCAAATGCTCAAAGTATGGGGACAAAAAGGGATACCCATCCTGAGCCTTCGAAGTAGTGGACACCCGCCATGAACTGGCCATGAGACCGCAATGCTTGGTCCTTCCAGAAAGGGAAAAACAAAGATACAACAGTTGGGACAGATGAAAATTGACGATTGCCAAACGTTTCCCAGAGCCCCCTGTCGCGCAGCGCAAGTGGACCCTAGGGGAATAGGCAATGCGTCGGCGCTGAGACTCTGCTTGTAAGCGGATGTTACCGAATGACCCCCGACCCCAATCCAAAGGGCAAATGGTAATCATCACCATCAAACAATATCCACAACTTTCATAATGCCCCAGGGCCAAGTAAGGCACCAACTTGGTCTGCTGAGTTCGTTTTGCCAGGTGAGCCTTGAAATCTGTACATCTCCGGGCGGCTTGTTTGTTGCTTCCCGGGAGATGCGCACAAATTGAAGTCGGGGGACCTAAGGTTTTGGTCTACTTTCCCATTTGATCACAAACAGAAGGCCAAAAGGGGAAGGAAACCAACTTGCCCAGAAAGACTTTTGCTTTGACAGTATGTGAAAGCCATTGATGCCCTCGGTTGAATGTGGCATTGATGTGCAGGCTTCATGCTCTTCTCTCTGGGCCGGTCGTGCTAGCATACCGAGCAATTGCAACCGGAGATTGCTCGCCTGGTTGCTTGCACTGCCCACGGCTTCCTTGCGCACAAGCCTTCAAACGCTTGCCAGGCGCACGTTTGCTACAACTCTCCTGACAGCTTTCAAGGATTGCAGCATTAATGGACATATACAGACATGTACGATTGCTAGAGGCAGACCCACCTCTTCCACTGAGCGCAACATAGTCTAGAGTCTTCTATTTTCCCGAAAAGGAAACCAGAAAGGGGTGGGTAAATGGCTAAAAAATCCAGACCCCTATTTGACACTCGGTCTGCAAATTTCACCAGTGAAACGGTTTGTTCGTTCAGTCAGGCATTCGGATCGATACAAGTTGACCAGGTCTAGGTTTTCCAGACTCTGCTTAGCACCTAGCTTGGTTGCGATTGACCCCCCTGCAAACAGTTTAACTTGAGGGTTTAGTGGAACAGCCAACCTGATTTCCCGAAAAGCTAAAGTCTAAAGATCCAACCCCATAGCAGTCAAGCTAGGGATGCACCCAATCCATCAAGTGGCTCAGGAAGTCCGAGGTCGCGTGGAAGATGGCGCGAACCGCCGACGCCTTCCGAGCGCCAAAAAACATTCGAGCCAGGGTCCGACCCCGCAGTGGGCGCGAGGAACCTCACACAAAACCGGCCTTTCGAAGGAGAGAGGTTTCATAACCCATCCAACGGAAATACGAGTTGGCTTCTAAACTTTAAATAGGGAAACCCTCAAATGGGTGGTTGTCAGAGAGCCGAAAAAGGTACCGTTAAAACAACCAACCCCAACTCCAAATCTAAAATGGGCGGTCTCCCTGTGGTTTTCCTGCACGCAAAAAGTCAGAAATGCCCTCCCTGTGCAGGCCGTAAGGTTCTTGAAGATTGACCTATCCAGGTCGCTCCAACCGCCGGGACCTGGATAAAGGAAAACCAATCACCTGGCCAAATCTCCACACTGGGGTTTTGATCATCTGGGTGTGTCTTCTTTCTTGGTAGCCTTTGTTTTGTGAGCTTGAACGGAAGCCAAAAGGACATCCACCATTCTGGAGTTTACCCTACAAGCCACTTCCATCCGGCTAGCACTCGACCCAAAAAGCCGGACTGATGCTGGAGTCCAGGAAAAAACTATCGAGCTACAGAATCCTCTCCCCCCAATAAAGGTCCCTCTAATAAGAAAGTGTGGGGAGTTGCCACAGGGCTGCTCAACATTTCTCTGCACCACAGCTTTGCAACCTGTAGGATGAGTTCCTCAACTACCCAGTCCCTCGATTGTTAGCTCAGATGCCCAGTGGCCATGGGAAAAAAGGGGCATCCTTTTTGGTTAGCTTTAATTAAAGGGGAACCCTTCCCAAAAAAGATGCAACCCACTCGGCAACTGGGTTAGGGTGTAAAGATTGATGTCAGGTTCATCCGACTTCGCTGGCGCCCCTTAGCTTTTCTTGGGCTTGGAGCTCACGGTCCCGTCCAAGATTGCGCCTTCTCATCGGTGAGGCTCTCATTCTCTTCCAATGAGGCCTCGCATTGCGCCAGGTGCGGCGGTGGGGTGGCGTTTTGGTTGGCTCTTTGGGGGTTAGGCGTCCTTCCCATCTGGTCATCTTGTCGCAGCCGCGGATCTGGGGGCATGCCAAATGGCTGGCGGTTCGGGTGTGCCAGGCGAAAAACGACCTTTGCACAGACGTATTGTTCACTTTGGGTGGGTATGCAAAATCCCACCTGTTCCATCATAAGGGCAACAGCCGCAAAAAATCCGGCACCCAACCGCCAGTCACAAGCAAAACGACCTCCGGGACCTCGGTTTCGCTCGAGTCCGGCCTTCCTCATCAGCTCTTCCCGACTCTCGGGGCAGCTTAGGAGCTTCTCCTGAACTCAAAGGGCCCAAATCGGACCCGACCCAAATCGGGGCCGCCGTTCACTCACCCATGGCCCCAAGGATGTGGAAAAGCGAAGAAACCCATGTGGCTTCATGGGGTAGCCCCCTTTTTTGGTGGCTTTCAAGGGACAGGTTGAATATGTTTAAGCACTACAAATCCAGATGGCCATGGGTCAAAAATCCGAATCGTACCCTCAGTGAACATCCCAATCCAACCACTAAAAAAATGTTCGACGAAACTGGGTGGTGAATTCACCTCTCCCAAACTGGGATCCCAAAACGGTTTTGACACCCACCGCCAAAAAAAAGAGCGGGGCAGAACGAAACCTGATCCGACTCAACCCGCACTTCGCGGCTCCGCTGCAAGGCCCATGCCCTCGGTCATCACCAAAGAAGTGGTCAACCTGAGGCGCGCGGTTCGCTCCACGAAAAGCTGAGCCCATGGCTCTGCGAGCGGCTGATCCCTCCGCAAAAAGTTCCTCACTTTTTGTGGGCTCAGTGGAAACCCCAACTTGAATTCAACCAAAACGTTCAAGTCTAAAGATCCAACCCAATAAGCAGTCAAGATGGCTATGCGAGCACGACACGTTTGAGTTGCTAAACACTTTTTGGTTGGTTCGCCAACGGGCAAATCTTACCCCAAAGCGATGTGGAATCCAAGTGTGACAACTTTCCACCAAGGAAGCGAACAGAAAGCCCGCTTGACCAAGGCAAAGACAAACACAAACCAGCACGGCTGAGCTATCCACACAGGAAACTAGAACCACATCTTGTGGTTGCAGCTGGCAACAGTCGGCGTGTACTGGCGCCAACTAAGGGAAGTTGCGCGAAAATATGATGTTTGTGGGAGGGCTATTTTTTCATCATAGCTCATTACGTTATACAACAATACGCATGTTGGTTTTGGCATCTTGTTGCTGTGTGCTTAATTGGGCGGTTGCATGCCGATGCCACAACCCATAACCCTTATAACTTATAACCCACACTATTTCAGAGCTATCCCGGCTTCCGTGGGAAAACTGCTCAACACAAAAGCTATGGCTAGTTCTTGATCAAAGCATAACAATGGTGCCGCACAAATAGTGTGGTTCTTCCGTTTGGATTCCCTTTAGCACTATAGTACCAATCCAAAGCGGTATCCATTGTGAGACAGACCCCTTACGACTCAGGGGACTTCCAAAGAGTTTGCTTCAGGTCGAGTTTCCTTAACCAAAACGCAGTCGGCTTTGCCTCTTACTGGGCTTTGCCTCATGGGAGCCCCATGAATACACACTTCCAAAAACGAGATGCTTCGCATGAAGCCAGTGCAAGGACTACGCCTCAGTCCCGATTCACACAGTGGCCGGGCTGCCGGGCTGCCGGGCCTTCACTCACTGAAACCGAGATCTAGATTGGCCACTGGATGGATGATGTTGAGCAACAATTTTAAACATTTGTATACACATAGTAATATATTATGTCATCACATGCCAGCGAGGGGGGGGGGGGGGGCGGCAAAACAACAACGAGAAAACCACAAGCTAAATGGCCATGAGGGTCAAGGAAACGTGCCCTAACCATACTCCTGAAAGCTGGAGCTATAAACTGGGAGTACTGGGTGAATGATAATGATTCAAGAAAGTCCGATGCCTGAAATGTCCTCGGCCAAAAAAGAACCCTTGAGGAAAAAACCTGGGCAAGCCCAGGAAGCAGGTTGGAAGCTGCAAAGAAACAAAGTCAGCGGTGGACGTTCCCCCGTCCCTTGAAAACAACCCAAGAAGCACCCGGAAGTCGCGCCCAAATGCACCAGGAAGCTATTAGGTCCAAGGTGACACCCTCAAAATCACCCACGTGGAGACTTGAACGAATACCACCAAGCCCAAAACAACTTGGAGAACCCGTATGTTTTGAACTCAAGGATCCCACCCCCAAACATAGGGAAACGGGAGGCCACGTGTTTGGACCCCGAGATCTGCATTTGTTACGCTTCAAAACCCTGCAAACTAAGCTGCCATTTGCGTTTTCGCCCCCTGGGAAAAATACATATATTTCCAGTAGTGATAGATTCCCTTTAAAACCAACAGGGGGCAAACAAACAAAAAACACATATTCTTAAGCAAATGGAAGTAAGGGTAATCCCTTAACTAAAGCCACCTTCACTAGCTCCTTCTACCTCCTTCTCTCAGACTCACCCCACAAATCGCCGAAACCACTCGACCCCCGGAAAGGCTCGTCTCGCGTTTGGTTCTTTCGGCGCATCGACCCCAACTCGACCCCGCGTTTTGGTCCCAGCAGCTTGATCAAGTTGCCGGCGAAGGGCACCCATCCAACGGCGTGGCTCAAAAGCGACATCTTCACCTGGGAACTTCTGACCGACCACAGCTTTGGTCGGTTCGGCGCTGAAAGTTGGGCGCTGGAAAAATCAAACGCCATAATTTTTACCCTCCCACCCTTTTCACAGGGTGAGGGCTCCCCATAGTTTTCCTTTGAACACCCTACCAAGGGGAAACTATCCTTAAGTCGGCCAACAAAACTTGGCCGTCCGTTGTCAGATCCCCTGCTCAAAGCTTAGCTTCTAGTGGTTCGAGTTCGGAACCCCCATGGAAAAACCTGGAAAAACCGCCTGGGGGCGGCTGGGAACCGCCTGGTTTAGGCGAGGTTACAGGCGAGGTGGTATAAAACCCCACGATTTCTAGGCCGTGTGGCCACTGGTACGTGTGAAGCTTGGCACAGCTTCGGCGCAGCATGGGCATCTCAGCTTGCCGATGAGGGCACCCCTTTCCGGGTTTGGAAGGAGAACTACGCTCCAGTAGAGAGGTTGGAATAAGGGCACCCTTGTTTCTGCAGTCTATTTTAGTAGGGGAAACCTCCCTCAAAAAAGGTACAAGGGCACTACTGCAAAACCTTGACATTGAGAAGGAAACACCTAAAATATTCTGCGGTCCATTCTACCAAAAGACAATATGTAGATGTCAGTCCAGCTTTCAGTCCAATTCCAAAGGAACAATGTGATTCTTGAAGCCACCAACAGCAACAAGAGAAAACATGGTGAGCTCCTCAAGTATGGCAAGTATCAACAGGACTCCCTAACTTAAAGCGCTGCTGTAGATGGCCAACTTCGAGATTTCTATGGACGTTCTTAGATGTGTTTCGTTGTTGTCCCTTTAAACCACCACTGCAAAGAGGAACTCCCCACAAAATAACCATATGGTATGATTTTCAAGCGGGGACTCTTAGGTGGACTCCTTGTGGTTTTCTGTGAATCACCAACCAACAAGGGGTGCAAAGCTCCGATCGACCCGCCCCTTCATTCCCCACGTCTTCCCATAAAAACGGAGAATGGGTTGATGGGTTGCCAGAAATGGAGATCTCCAGCAGGGAATTCCCTCCTCAGCTTCCCTCTAATTGGCTTGGATTTGTGGTTTGGAGGCTAGGAAGGCGGGGTTTCCCATGTACCCTCTACAAGAACCAAGAGTTTAAATCCCCACCGACCTCCAAACCAGCCAGGGCCAGGCCTGACGCCTCACCTTCTAGGACCCAGAAGGACCCAGAAAGACCCCCGGGCCCCCGGCGTAGTCGGAGCCCAACAGCGTGGCCACGGCGACGGCCATGCCCAGGTCCATGTAACAGCCGTACTCCCGGGAGATGGCGTAGATCATCGCGGCCTACGAGTCTCCACTGTGAATCATGGACCCTCAAGAGGGGCTATGGGGGAGGGGGGGTTATTCCTTATAAACCCCTTGATAAGGCCTTACTAATGGCCCCACAGCCCCTTCTCGGGTTCCACTTGGAATTTTGCGCCCTGGCAAGCCCTAGCAAGTACCCTCCCACCAACTAACATGGAAGTGCACAAACCCCCTTTCCAAGAGGAAAGTCGTCTTCTATGGGAGTCTGTGCACTTCCACGTTAGTCGGTGGGAGGGTAGGTTAGCCAAGGCCATGTTCGTAAGTCTTTGCAATCATGGCAACCAGAGCCTTTGGGAGGTACCATGGTAAGCCATAGTAGGTTTCAAAGTTGGCCTAGGTTCTTAGCATACGGTTAGCCAAGGCTGCGTTAGCGAAGGTGGTTGAGGGTAACGCCTAGCAAGGTTGTAACCATGGCAACCAGGTTGTTTTTTGGGATGTGCCATGGTAACCCCTAGGTTGGCCAAGGTTATTCGGATAACCGGGGGGAAGGTTAACCAAGGATACCATGGCAACCCCTAGTAAGTTGGCCAAGGTTTTCAGGATAATCCCTAGGAAGTTTGACCAAGTTTACCATGGTAAGCCCTGATGGTAGGTTAGACAAGGCTTCAGGGTAACCCGAGTAAGTAGGCTGACGTAGGCTGTACCCAACTAGACCCTGTCACGGCCTTGCGTGGACGTTCAACCAACTTGGCAAGATTATCACCATGGTTAGGAGTGGAGTGGGAGCATGGCGTAGAACGTCGAATTCCACGCACACGCGTGGGTTCGCGAAGAACTGGCCCCACAATTGGGGCATTTTCAAATTGTCACACTCCAAGTAGTGGGTTCAAGCGAGGGCAAACCGACAACTTTCATAACCTAAAGGCAACTTAAATGAGTGCCTGCATTTGAGAGTCGGCAAAAAAACTTAAACAACAGAAACCAACAACAAACACCAGAATAGAAAAACACACAAAGCCGCAAAGCACCATTAAACACACAACCCCACCTGAATCCACCACATTCCACCGCTGTTGCACACACAAACCTCACCACCCCCACCCCCCCCCTCCACCACCTCCACCACCTCCACCCCCTCTTCCCACAGCGTCCACCCCCTCCCCCCCACCCCCCACGTCCCGCACCCCCCTTCCGGCGCCTGGATCAAAGGCACCACCGCGGCGTTGGCCACCACAAGCTGCGCCATGGCTCCGTCCGTGAAGCTCGCCAGCGCCGCCGCGGCGTGGCGGATGCGCCCCACCCGGGTCCTGAGAGGTGTGACGGGCGGGAGTCGGGGAGTCTGGGACCGTGGGGGGAGCCTGGGAGGGGAGTGGGGAAAGGGGGGGGGGAATCTTTTTCAGGGTGGGCTGGGTGGTGGGGGGGGGGGAGGGAATTTGGGAGCCATGGAAGTTAAATGGAACTGATTCTAGGGGTCACCCCTGTTTTCAATTCCAGAAAAGGGGGTAGGGATTCGCTGGTGTTTTTGGTGTGGGACGCGTGTGCCGGGGGGGGGGGACAGAGAAAAGGGCTGTTGGAGGCCGCCAAAAAATCCACCCCAAACACCCCGACGCCCCAAGCACACCGAAGTTGGGAAAGACAGGTGATGTTGAAAGACTGAACACACACGAGCCGCCCCAAACATGAGAAAAGAGGAAAGGGATGAACATCAAGTGGTTCACAATTGACCGCCCTCAAGTTCTTGCTGGTCGATAGGTAGGGAATGATCGTTTCAGGTTTGGAGAATGAAACGGCGGGGGATTCCCTTAAGGGAAAGAACATGGTTTCTGTGGGTCAATCCCTCACTCCCTGCTGAGAACCTTTGCCCCCCCCTGGACGCGGACCCCCCCAAACATGGGGAGAATGCATGAACTTGTGGTTTAAATTAGGGGTAACCTGACGGAATGTTTATGTATATAAACAATAAATCCCATCAAGACCTACAGAAATGTTCTCTGGCGGGCTTTCCCGGCGGTGGTGTTTTTTGATTTTCCGAAGATAATGTTTGAACCTCAAGCTACATAATTTTCTCTGTTGGGTAAAGAAAGCAGGGAATGAGAAATGCAATCAGCCCAACTGGTGGCGTCCTTTATTCCGCAATCCCCAAACCGTGCATTGTCCCAACACATGGTCATTCCTGAGCAGCAGCAGAAAAAGCCCTGCAGTCTGTGGGGTGTTCCAGCAAAGAAACTAGGAAGGCCTGCCGGTTTTGGGGGTTTGCCGATTCTGAAGAGATGAAACGGAAGTGCTCTTTGCTGCTTTTACACAAGTTGCGTACAGTCACAGAAGTAAAATTGCCCACAACCTCTGATCGTCCGAGAAATCTGACAGTTGGGGAGTCCCTTTTAATGGCAAAACTTCTTGAGGGTAGGGGCAAGAAACCGACACTAAAAGTGGCCCCCAAACCATCAATTTGTACAAAAAGCCTTTGTAGCATACACACACACTGGGGGGTGCCCCAGAAAAGCCCTGAATCTGCTCAATCTGAGTGCTGCGGGGTCCTCTTTAATGGCAAGCATGTTTGTGTGTGGAGATGATTTGCTTTGATTGGCAATTCTGAACTAAGCTAAGTTCGAGGTCTTAGACAAAATATTGGCAACTCTAAAACTACAATTGGAAATTAGATTTGAACTATTTGCAATCTGAGATTAGCAGATTAGGCACGGTTTTACCAAATATTGATTTGTAAAGACTAAATTACCTACCCAGAAAGGCTTAAAGTTGCAACAGGTCAAGTCTTTTTCGGGGTCCAACAACGAAACCCCGGTTGGCGGCATGTGGGCCAATGAGTCACTAGCCTGGGCCAATCCTGGTGCTTCCAAATAAAGATATAAACAAGTCTTGTTGCCTGCAAGAGTTGTCTTGCCTGCTCACTTTTCAAAAAGTAAACTTGTGGTTGCCCGGTTCTTCATTTGATGTAGGGCCCAAAAGCTAAGACCTGTTCTCGTCGGTCAGCTTAGCAGTGGTCACTGTTTGTAGCAATGTGAGCGCTGCAGAAGCCATTGCTAGGTAATTCTCGGAAAACATGTACTTTTATGTTCTAAGGTTGACTAAACCTTAGGTAGAATGAGAACATGCTATGTTTGATGTGCCCAAGAGATGCGTCAAGAGTACTGCTTTAATATGAACCTCCCCCCTCCCCTGAACAGTGCCAACAGTCATTCAGAGCCTCTTGAGTGGAAAATTGGGGCCGCTTTAATCAGAGCCTCCCCAATGCTCCTCCCAAATCGCCCATAGACACCTAGGCAATTTGACCTCTTTAAACTTTAAACCGCCAAATGGGATGTCCCTTCTTGGACAAACACCTCTGCCTCCCCTTTCCCCTGCTTCAAAAGCAAGGGGCAAGAGAGGGAGGGGTTGAGAAATCTCGCTTGCTTTCTTCTCCCCTGCTGAAAGTTTGACTTTTAGTGGTTTGATGGAAAACCCATTAGTTGGCAACAAGTTAAAGTCCTAACATGAAAATCAACATGCACCAATAAATCCAACAAGTGAACGAAAACTCCCGTCCTGACCACGTCGGAGGACAGATCGCAGGCCCGCTCGGCGGCGGGCTGCGCATCGACGTGAGCCTGCATACGAAAAAATTGAGAAAAAAACAGCAACAACAGGGTTGTGGGAAATGGAATCCACTTCTGTGATACAACAAAAAGGGCTTCCCAAAGACTACCACCTAATATACAGGGGGAGATTCCCTTGTATCACAGAAGTGGGAATAAACCCCTTGATTCCACGACCCTGAGCAACAAGGGTCACTGGATTCCACTTCAAAGGTTGATGCATGTACAGGGGGGTTCAATTGAGACTGGTTCCCGAGAGGGACATGGCTCGGAAAGCCGAGCCATTCCCATCCACTTTTGCCCGAACTATCCCCAACAGCCCTGCGGCCCGAAAGCTGCGGTGAATTCGTATGGGCTATCGGGCACCCATAGTCTGCACTAATTGGCTACCCTCCCTCCCACTAAAATGGCAGCTATTGGGAGGTATCCGAAAGATGAGTCTCCTCTTGAAGGAACCCCCTGTCAGATCATCTAGATGCCATGTTAGTGGGAGGGAGGGTACAACTTTTTAATTTGGGACCTGCCAAACATGGGGAGTCATGTACTGAACTGGGGAGCTCAATAATTTTGACAGCCGACCTGAATTAAGGGATCTGTTTGGCAATGGAGCTTGATCTTTCGAATTCACAAGGGAAGCAATATCATTCATGCATGTCCAAATTATCGGAAGCGCTCTAAAATATGCACTGCGCCAGCCTAGGTCTACGTCCCAAGTTGCCAAGGGTTCTGAATCAAATACCTAAGCCCTAGCTGGTGGTTTGGACTGCATAAAGGCTCGCAACTGTACAAACACATGCAGCACGTCACGTCCATGAACAAACAGGGGAAAAAACAAAAAAACGTCCAAACCAGCCCCCTTTGTCATATCCAACCCTCTCAGGCCTTGCTTTTGCAGGGTTTCCTCCAAGTTGTTCGCTCTCTGCAGGCCTTCGGCTCTCTGGGAATTGGTTCTCTGGAGGGTGCCAGAGGGGCCCTGCCTCAGGCTCGAACTCCGCGCCGAGCCTCGAGTTGCCAACCGTCTGGTGAACTGGGTGCTACATAGGTCACACACAAACATAGGTGGCCTCTTGGAAAAATACATGGCACCGGTAAATGGAATGAAACCCATCTAAACGAGTGCCATTCATTTTCAATCAAACTAACCTGAAAAGGACACCTATGCGCACAAAGGTGGATGGGATGGGTGGTTTGGGTGGGTACCCCTGGCTCCTGAGGAGCAAAATTTACATGGGACACCAGCCTTCAAACCCAACCCAAACCAGTTGGTTTGAAAAGTTCTGGTCGGACAAGGATTCCTCTATGGTTCGCCCGCAAATCTTGAGGGCGAAGCATATGTTCATACAACTCACTGGGCCCATATTGAATCGTTTCAGGGGCTCGGGGTCGATCGAAATTCACCCGAACTTTACAGAAATCTTTGCGATGGAACCTTCACTTCGGAAAGCCCGGGCCCCCAGCCCTATGCTGAAGCTTTGATGGAGGAACCAAGCTCTGGCCCCTTCAGGTCCAGCCTACGGAGATCATCTCTTTAGGCGCTTCTTTAGACGGCCATATCCCCAGCAAGTCGCATCTGCGATTTCTCTGGTCCGCCTTTAAAAGTTGATGAAAAGGTCCGTGAGACATGGGGATGACCAGGGAAACCACCAAAAAGATGACTTTCCCCACACGGAACAAGTTACTCATTGTCATTTGGGGGCCAGGAATTTTGATCAACCCCCACGTATGCGCATGTATGTTGAGGTTAAAATGTCATTCTGGGTTGTCATTTGCCTACCAAGCAACAGGGAACCTGTTTGGGGGTCTATGTGTCCATGGCTTGTGTATGGCAACGAAATCCTGTGAATGCTGGGGTAAACTACTTGCTTTTCGTCCATCAGAACCACATGTCCTTGGATCATATCGCATTCATGGGTGGAGCTCTTCCACAAGGAAGGCCTGTTAGATGCTGTTAGAATCTGCTGAGGAGGCAGAGAGAAGGGTCCTGAAACATTTCTGGGGGGGGAGAGGCTTCAGGTAGACGGTTGCTTTCTGCTTGGGACCGGATCGTTCGTTTCCCAAGGTCTTTGTGGCTCTTTGATCTTGCCGGGACTGAGTCCATCCCACAGACACAAGTGGATTCTGAAAGCAGCTTGCAACAGCAGCTTTTGGGAGAATACTGGCGTCATGTTCGCCAACTGCCGAACTGCACTGCCCTGGCCTGGTGGGAACAGGCGACATGTCGCTGGCGATCGCAACCTGCGGAGTTGCAACCAGGAGACCGAGGTCCAGTTGCTCAGCTTCCCTCTTGGTGGTTTGGAGCTGGGTTTGGTGGTCTCTTGGGGGGGTTGCCCATCAACCCTGAAGGAAAAGGGGTTCAAATCCCTAAACCACCAATCCAAACCACCGACCAAGGGTAACCTGATTGTCCGTCCCATGGGAGAAAGAAAGATAATTCCAGTAGTGACAGACTTCACTGATCAACTCGCAGTGGGACAGAGGCTGTCCCGAGTCCTAACTTTGCAGCCATGTCCACCAGATCCCAAGGTCGACCAAACAAAGAGCCCCGGTCCCGGATCCTGACCAGCCCAAGACAGCCTTCAACGACTGGTTTCCATGAGGGACCGATACTTCCCAACGAACAACTCAACAGCGACTGCACAGCTACAAACGCCCTGGCACATCTGAAGCAACGAGTCCCCAAGTAAGGCATCCTTATCATAGGTACGTCGCAACCCCCCCCCCTCCCCAGTTTCAAGGGGTCACTATCGTTTGCCACGGTTTGCCATAACCAGAAACTCCTGGTAAACACCAGCATCCAACCCAAATCCCAAGCTTGATCAAGAGCCCAGGCAAATGTCCTATAATTCCCAAACAAACAACGGAATCCCCTTGTGAAGGATCTTATGGGGATGATCTAAACCCCCAGGCTCGCCATCACGACCGCGCTTGTCGCGACTTTGGCGACCCCATGTTCGGTATGGCTTGAGGTGTGTCCGCTTGGGGCGTGGTTTTGGACCAACGAAAGTGCCAAGACCCAACACGCCGCCCCAAAACCTTCCCGTGCGGACCTTGGAAGCCAAGGCGAGTAGTACCTGGGAAATCGATCCCCATCCCGCAGTTCCCATGGGCAGTTAGTTACCCTACCCGAGGCGAATTCAAAAATGCCTGCCAACTCGGATGTTGGGGAACTTTCTGTAGTCGCGGAAGTAGAAGGGGCACGGCACATACCGTTGTGTCTGATTCGGTCTTGCCATGGGAAAGAATGCGCTAAATCTCTAGGCTGGAATTAGGACCCCAGCAACATATTATTTTGTTTGCCCGGTGGTGGAAAACTAAGGGAATCCCCAAACAGCAAAAAACAACAAGGGGAGCTAATTCTGGGGAAGATCTGACGTCTGCTGAGGAACGGCCTCATTCGATGCATCGCGCATGACCGGAAAACATCGGAAATCCTTCAAACAAAAAAGGGAAAGGTGGCGGAGTCTTTGAGCGGCTGGATCGCTCGCTGCCCTGCAACCAGTCGGTCACAATTGAAAAAACTTGGAAAACCAACCAGCAAGCTGGATTGGTCTGAGCAAGCCCCCAAAATTTGGCCGGTTTAGAGCAAGTCAACTGTCCCTGCAGACTGTCCCTGCAGCCGTTTTTTGGAAGACATGCTGGCCGACACGGGCAGCGAAAGGCTTGCTCTGTCAAAAAATGCGACCAACGCTTTCCCTCTCACCTGCACGCCCAAAAGTCATGGGTTGGATTCTGGTCCAAGTGGAATGTCGTGAGTGTACCCATGTCACTCACGGCTGAAGACGACAAACATGAACGTGGATGCAACATTTCTCCAATTGGTGGTTGGATTGGTGGTTTGGCGGTTGAGGAGTGGTTTCACACTCACCCTCTACAAAAGCCACAGGTTTACTCCCCCAAACCACCAATCCAATTCAGCCACTCTGGGGTAACCTGACAAAACATGTCAAGTCCTCAGTTGTTCAGGGACCCTTTTTGGGGAAGACCATTTTTAGTGGGGCAGCCACCAAAGCAAAGGAAAAATAATTAGTGCCACTGACTGAACAACTGAGAGTCCTTTCAGTGACGATCAAGTCTTCCAGCAAAGGCGCGGCGAGACGCAGTGCGCGACACCGGCCATCCTGGATGGGAAGTCCCTCCCAAAAATTTCCCGGGCCCCTGGAGACAGCCTTTTTGGCTGGAGGGGAAAATGAAGGGCAAAACACAGTTGGGGCAAAAAATGGTAAAAGCAGATTGTGCAATTATCCGATTTAGGTTTGTTCAACATCTTTGACTGCCCAGCCAGAAACAGCATTCTCCAAGCTCTTCGTGGGCGCAAGGCGGTAGCCACGCAAACTAACCCACTTCCACGCTGCTTCGCAAACGGCAGGTTGCAACCCCGCAATTCGACTTGATCTGGTGGCTTCCCATGCTCAGAAACCCGCAGCCATGGGAAAGGTCCTGAGAGAAGTATCACACACGTCCCACAAACCAGACAAACCCTGGACAATCTGAGAGACCCTGGATCGTTCCATGTACCTTGGGGTCAGGAAAACATAGACACCCATCATTGAAACCCATGCACCGACATGACCTAAGAGCACTCTCCGGATTTTCCCCTCACACTCCACTCGCTTGCCCAAAGGACCTGGAAGTAAAGTGTTAACCTTTTGGAACCTGGAGCAAAAAGGCCAAATCAGGGAAACATGAAGGTCAAAAGGTTTGGGCAGGTGAGTCCAAGCGGCCCCTACTTTTGCACGCAAGCCATCGCTCTTGGTTTCCACACGCGCCATGGCTACCCCTTGCCAACGTGTCTTTTATTTTTCCGATTTGTTCGTTCCTCCTTGCTAAGCTGCCAAGACTGTCGCCACGCACCCCTGATCCAGGCTTGACACAACCAAGCATTTATAAATGAACCATGTATATATCAAGCTTTATGTACCAAGCATTTACATGTATTATATATATAGTAAACATGTGTTGTACACGTGCTTCACATCTCGACATGGTACATATATTGCCGACTAAGGAAGTATGGATTCAAACTCAAACCAGGTTAAGCCGGGGTACGCGGCAAACGTCCCTTGACTATGCCGGGCTACGCGATACGCGTATCGAAGCATTGGCACTCACTTTGGCGAGTGCTAGCCGGCTAACAGCTGGCCAAGGATAAGTCCTCTTGGATTGAACGGGATTTCCTGCTGGTTTTTTGGGGGGTCAGCTGGGGTTGTGGAAATGCACCAATGGACCCCCTAGGAAACCATAGGGATGGTTTATAAGGGTCTTTCCCGCATGCTCTAAGAACCAGCAACAGTAATTACTTGGGAAACAGCCTTGGTGCCAAAGATCCGAATCTATTGCAATAGCTCCTTGGTGGCAATTCACTTTGGTCTTGGGAATGGGGACAGGACGGGAATCCCCTTAGTTCAGGACACCCAGGGAACTGCTAAAGCACCAGCCGGGTTCAGCCTGGCAATGAGTGAAGTTGTGTACTTCCACGCGGTGTACCCTGTGCAGGCGCACCTGCTATTTCAGCCTCTGAATAAACGCAGGTTCCAGTCTCACCATAGAGTACTCATCTCAAGCAGCCCCCGCGGAGACTTCCGTCTTTAGCAGGTTCATGCTGCGGGGTTGTTCTTGGGGCCATGTTTGGGACATGCTTGCAGAAGCCCGTCGATGAACCTCCTGTTGCAACGCTTTTGGCTCGAAAAGGAACTATTTGGCACAGCCGCTGCGAGCTCCGGTGTAAAGAAAGGGATAGAAGCCTGGCAACTCAACAAGAAGTGAGGCTTTCTCCGTTTCTCAAGTACTTTGTGGCCAACCTAGTTGCCTATTGACCGTGTAGAAAGAGGAGACCTTTTTGGGGATTGACCCGTTGACCCTTGTTGGCGTAAAACCTGCCTAACAGAAGGGATTGACGCAGCACCCCTTGAAAACTGCTGAGAATCAGCAGGTTTAGCTAGCAAGCCTAGATTTGGGTGTCATTTTTTAAGGGTACTTGTTTCGTGGTTTTTAACTGAACACCACAAGGAAAACACGAATTGGCGGGTCCCCAAAAACTCTCAGTTGCCCAAAGGACCCTGCAATACAAGGTTCACCTTTTTGGGCCATGACCAAAAATGGACCAACAAGCGCAAGCTGAAAGGTGAAAAGGTCGGGTTTAGGCAAGTGTGAAAAACAACAACATGTAGACATGATCAGAGTTAGGCCCAGGTATAGAATGTAATTTTTTACAGTTTGCTTCACCTTGAGTCACTGGTAACATGCAAAATGTATCCTAAGTCGACCCCCAGAGATCTTCAGAGGCCACCGCCGAACTGGGCCGGCATCAGCTCAGCATTGCCTTGGCTGCCTTGGCAGCTTTCGTCACCACCTGAGAAAACGGGGCCTTGGGTGCACTTCCAGTATATAGAGAGGTTGGAATAAGGGCGCCAACTTTTTGCTGCGGTCTATGTTGGTAGGGGAACCCTCCCCCAAAAAAGGGGATAAGAAGGGCACCTAGCTGGGGGACCTAGTTGTAAATACGGGGGTCTGGAATTAAAGCAGTACTTCTCAATCCCTTTTGGGGCTTTGGAGAGTTATATAAAGCACCCAAACAATCGCGCATAATCACGCGGTCCAGAACTCAAAAGCAGAGCCTGGAATCCACAGATCTGTCGGAAACCCGCGACTCGTTGAACCCGTGGCTTGTTGAACCCGTGAATCTTGAAAAGTGAAGCCAGGGACCAAGTGAGGCCAGCCTGCACTTTGTAAATACCCAAAGCCACGCACTGGTGGTAAGAAAATGCCGGTGTCGGAGATCCAAGCAATCAAGGGGACGCGAGGGATCTATCAAACAATCGAACAAACAAACAAACAAGCAAACAAACAAAGAAAGAAACAAAGAAAGAAAGAAAGAAAGAAAGAAACAAAACAAACAAAACAAACAAACAAACAAACAAACACACAAACACACAAACAAACACACAAGCAAACACACAAACAAACACACAAACAAACACACAAGCAAACACACAAACAAACACACAAACAAACACACACACACACAAACACACAAACACACAAGCGCACAAACACACGAAGACCCGAACACACAAACACACAAACACACAAACACACAAACACACAAACACACACACACACACACAAACACACAAACACGAAGAACAAAAAACACTAACACACAAACACACACACACACACAGACACACGCACACACACACACAAACACACAGACACACAGACACACAGACACACAGACACGCAAACACACACGCACAAAAACACACACACACACACACACACACACCAAAAAAAAAAAAACACAAAAACACACAAAAAAACACACAAACACACACACAAAAACACAAAACACACACACACACAAAAAAACACACAAAAACACACAAAAAACACACAAAAACACACAAAAACACACAAAAACACACACACACACACACACACACACACACACACACACACACACACACACACACACACACACACACACACACACACACACACACACACACACACACACACACACACACACACACACACACACACACACACACACACACACACACACACACACACACACACACACACACACACACACACACACACACACACACACTTATCTCGAGAGGCTTCACTAGCCGAGATGAAAAACGCAGTCAGTAAAAATGCTTGAATGCAAATGCAAATCAACAGGTCACAACATCGACACCGAACAGGAAGCAACAGCGACAAACAGAAACCGCAAAAGGAATCAGGAAAGAGGGACCAAAAGGACGTTCAGAACATCACGACTTTCTCAAATTGCAGGTACGTCCACATCGCGTCCGACGTGGATTTCACATCCTCTACAGCAGCGTCTTTGTTAGGCAGCGACTGCTGTAGGGACCACTGCCCCCCTGCTGCTTAAAGTTTTGCGTCCGTGCTCCAGGACGGTTCACACACACAAGGCCCCGAGCGGGGCGAGCTCACTTATGCAAGGCCCATTGAGTCTTGCAATCTTCGACTGTGCGGGAAAGTCTCGTGGCGATGACAGACCATGCATGCTTGGCCTTGGTATTGATCTTAAGCGAACGGAGGAGATCAATCTCCTCCTCAGTCCAAGGTTGCGGAGCTTCGGGATCAGCCTCAGTAGCGGCATCAGTCCTGGTCGATGGGGTAGCTTCGAGTTGTCCACGGGTACGTTTGGATGCCATAGAGCGTGAGGAGGTCTTGTCATGTGTGCGACGAGCTCGTTTTTTGTCAGGGGGAGACGGTGGAGTGGGTGGAGCCCAATGATCAGGAAATTGTTTATCATGATCTGCGAGAAGTTGTTCGCCAGGATCATCAGGAAGTTGTTCATTAAGATCATCGGGGGGGGCCAGGAGAGGTGTTGGTGGTGAATTGGTCAGGTCCTCTACGGTGAGATTGAGTGGAGCTTCCGGTGCGATCCGGACCCTCAGTGAACTCGCGAATGGTGGCAATGCCTTGCTGGGCAATGCCGAGGATGAGTTCAAAGTCTTGAAGCAGCTGGCGTGCTGTGTCAAGATCCATAATCGCAAAAGGTTTTATGTCAAACAGCTGCGGTGTGAAAACAGGTCATGTGGGAATCTACCGGTGGGCAAAGAGTGAAAAAGTGGGTGCAATCTCAAATAGTGGCAAAGGAAGGCCGGTGCGTTTTTTCTTCTTTCTGCAAGGTGAAACCGTGTTGGTGGTACAACTTCTTCAACAATGTGAGATCGTGATCTCGCTGAAACTCAGGAAAGGAAACCCGGCTGATCAGCGTACGTCTGGAGTAATATCCAGATTCCTTGTGCATCATTGGTGCGGCCGACTTGATGGAGAGCATGTTGTGCTTCTCATACGAGGGGATGAAGGAGATGGTGCCGCACTCAAGGTCCAGTCGAAAACCCAAGAAATCCAGGGCGGCTTCTGTCTCCAAAATGATGTCTCCTCCGTAGAAGTGTTCGTCACACAAGATGTGGGCTGCCGGAGTCGAAAACCATCTAGGAGTTGCGACCGAGCCTGTTGTCCACATAGCGGAGCAGGAGGGTGTCCTCAAAGGAGCGAGGTCCCGAAGTAGGATGGGTGTTGGCCCAAATTTGCTCGGCGACCGCAATTACCATCAGGCATAAAGCAGGAGATG